TTGGTTTGGAGGGTTTAGCCAGGGCTTTTATAATCATTATCAAAATCTCAAGTCAAATAATTTTACAGATTTTAAAAACCCAGATTGTTTTTTTCCTCRGAGACATAATACCAAATATGACCTACTGTTTCAATGCAAGCATCAATCACCAGTAGCCACATAGGAATCAGAATAAAAATGCACTGTTCTCCAGCCACTAACTTAAATTCACTCAAACAAGCATTGACCAAGTTAAACAAGCAGTAAAAGTGGTGGTTTGGGGGTACTGACTGATAGATGAGTTCCTGATTTGTGAGGGCATTTGAGCCCTCGTAGGGCTCAGGGCAGCATTTAAGTAGTTCTGTTTCTTTTTTCTTCATTTTCAAATGAAACCTTTTCTTCTCCCTCTGGCTCTCTTATCTATTGATGTAACTGGTGTTGCATGAGAAATTACCTCATTTCAGTGGCTGGAGACAGCTTTTCTATCAGCTGCGGTAAGGTTTCCTCATTTGTTTAATGAACCTGGAKAGGTAGAAAATTAAGTATTAGGAGCTGCAGATGAAGAAAACTAAACCAGAATGTGTATTTGGGTGGTTTAAAAAAATATATCTGTGTTAATATAGCCAGTACATATAATTGGTATTTAGATTATGGCATGATTATTGCTTTGCAGACAGGGGACTCGGTTATCTCTCAGTCATCAATGAAGTAGCTGCATTCTGTGCTCATCTCATCTCTGAAGCTGAAAGAAGAGCTAGTTATTATCTTCAAGTGAGTTATTAATGAGGGGAAAAATCATCCCCAATTACTGTGAAGCAAAATATTTCAACATTTACATATCTCAGACTTTAATTTTGATCTAATCCTTCGTGAGTTCTTAAGCTCAGACGGTATTCACTTTTCCAAACATTCCCACAGCAACATATCAAGAGGAACTTGCACCTGTCCAAGTGCTGGCTTCCCTAAGGGTATGCTTCAGGGTCACAGAAGTGCTACCCATCCCATCCTTGTGCTGCTAAAGACTGATTTCCACTGGGATTCCTTCATGCTACACCCTAGAAACAGAGTCTCAACTGTAAGCTTTGCCAGAGAAAAAATTCTGAGTTGTCTATACTGTGTGTTCCCAGTCCTTTTTTTTTCTTAGCTAGAAACAGCCTGGAATTTATTTGTGAGGGCTAATTTTGTTCTTTTGCTTTTCTTTGAATCCTTTTGAAATTAATGGTGTGGAAGTTTTAACTCCGAATGTTCTAGAATAAAACCTGGGCAACACAAAGGTGATGATTTAAATTCAGTTAAACATGTGGGCAGTAACCAGGAGATGGGAGAAGTACTGTCCAYACTGTGAATCCATCCATCAACACAGATGTGAAGGTCTGACCTTGGCAGATTCAGGAGGTAGGGATGTCAAACACAGTTTGCAGTCAATTGGAAATGTAGCTACTAGACAAAGAAAACTCAATAATTACACAGCTGTTTCAGTAGATTACAGATTTCCCAGAAAACAATAAAACAGCCATCTGTGAATGGAAAAAAAAAGTAAACGATCTTTTTTTTTTAAATTCAGAAACTTGATTTCTGAAAGTCATCAGATATRTCCCCTGTAAACTCTTACCTCTTTTCAAAAGAGACAGTGTGTAACCAGTTGGTGTAGATTTCTTCACAGCATTTATGTCCATTAATGCTTCATTGATTTACGGTGAAACTGCTGAAGGACTGTCTTGAATAGACATATAAATATTAATTTCTTATGAAGGATGGCTGCTATTACACTAAATATTAAATGAATTCATAATACTTGGACATATGCAATAAATCACTACTGGGACTGCATGCTAACATCCCTTTTTTTTTTTTTTTTTTTTTTTTTTACATATTAAAACCACAGAAAAGGGCTGGTTGCTCCCAAAGAAATGTAAGCTTTGTAACGCTGGAATCATTAATGAATTCCCACAGCACAAGGAGTTTCAACTTAGTCCCATTTAACAGATATAGAGGGGGAAGGCATGAAGTGGGTTAGGTTGAACTGCTGATTGCAAAAGGTTCAAATCCAATCTGTTTCTCATGAGAGACATCACAGTAAATTATCAATTCCTGACAGTCCTTCTTTTGCTTGAAATGCTCTGAGCAGCGTCGGCAGAGGATCTGGCCACRTGATACCAGAAGGCTGAGAGCCAGACTCAAAGGGAGAAAGAGCTGGACATACTGTCTAATCTCCATGCACACTGAGCAGTTGGTATCAGGTCACCTCTAGATATCTTGCCCAAGGCCACGACTGGAAGATAGTACTGCTCAGGTTTTGACCAGGCTTAGCAATTGAATTAAGTCATCTTCTSTCTCCTGAAACCACAGATCTTAGTTTCAGAAGTTTAGTAAAATGCTCAGTGGGCACTAAAAATCAATTCTTTATCTTTCCCTTTATTAAAGTAGAACAAAGGGGTAGATCAGCAAGCTCTATGTAATTTTCTGTTACCTAAGGGATAGTAGCTTGAGTGTAGAAATTTATGCCAGGGCTAACCCTGTAGARTGGAAGCCATTCTTGTAAACAAAATTGAATAACTGTCAGACTCATCTGCTTTTTAATGTGTAGATGAGTGTGAGCATGTGCACCTCTGTCTTTCCAAATATTTTTGCTTCYATGCTTTAAATGGTCTAAGTTGCTCAAGGTTTTTCTAATGAAAACTTGCCAAGGTATTTAAATTAGAAGCAGAAATTAGAAAAGCTGCTACCAGATAGGAATATTAATTGTTCTTTATACAGGGCTTTAGTTCACATAGTTACTTTGCATTTGCAAGGCTGCCAATTAAAGAGGCTCAAAGTGCTCACTGCTGCACAATAGCCATTTCTCCAGAGCCCCACAATGGCTATTGTATTCTGCCACTGACCTTTGAACACCTTCAAATGCATATTGACACAGGATGCTGGGATCATTAGAGCAATTGTTTCAGTGTGCCACAGGGAAATAAGAATTTTGCAATTTCGTGAAAAGCTTTAAAATTTTATATAATGATGACAGCAACAATATTTCTCAATTAGGCAAATGAGAGAAAAACTAAAGCATTTTTTTCTGGTGTTTCAGTTGAATTCCAGAATGCACACCTGACACAGTATCCATACAGTCCCTTACCATCAGGGAAAGAAGATATTTATCAGGGGCATTTGGTCTGCTTTTCTGTTGTTTCCAGGGGGATTGATATATTTTTTTGACCTGATGGTTCCATATGGCCAGCCTCCCTTAGCTTCCATGGATTCTGCCTGGATGAACATCTTAACAGGATGGATCCTTTCATCCTATAAGTSCAAAACACTCTTTTAAAACATAGCCAGTGGTATGCAGGAGACCAGGATCTGGATGTCCAGTTCAGACTCTGCTCTTCAAAAATCAGGGAATGTTGGCTCAAAAATCAGGGAGTGTTGGCTCTGTGACAACAAGTGCTTCTTTTTAGCTCTTGTGTGTCTTGACATCTAAGGTATTTCTGTTTTCTTACCAGTCTGTGTCGGTTAAAGTGTGCAGACAAGAACTTTGGAAGCAGAGATACTGCAGGTACATTTACTGTAGTAAATCTAAGCATCTTCTAAAAGCTTTTATTTATTTTATTGTAGCCTTTCTATTCTTTAAAGCTGCTTTGAGAAATTACTTTAGCAGTCAGAACATAAAAGAACATAATTTTAAACCTTGCATAGGACATTTTGTCTACAGAGGATAATAAATTACTGGTTTGTATTTCCAACGAGTGTTCCTGCTTGAATATAGAGAGGTAGTTTCTGTTCCATAAGTCTTGCCATTTYTGGGTTTGATTTTATCCCCTGGGATCCTATTATTGAACAAATTATCAAATATAGTTAAACTTCACAGCCCTGAGTCTCTGAAGATAGTTACGGTAATGGTTTGTACTTCTGACGAAAGAGGAAGAAATCTAATAGACCTTAGCAAAATTTCTTGTATCTTGTATTTTTTAAAAATGGAAAATTTACTGCACAGCATTGCTGGTTGCAACTCCAACCTAGCTATGTAGCATGTACCAGATGAAGGCCAGTTTCTACATACAAACCTCTAGCTGAAAAACTTKAAAGAAGGACATAGTATTTGGTATTTGTGTGTGCTTGAGGTAAATGTGCAGCAGGATTTCTCACACTGATGTAAAATCCAAAAGGTCAGATGTGTTTCCTCAGTAACACAGGCTAAACTTTTTTCCCCCATTAATTGAAAGGGTGCTGTTATCATCTTTTCATTTCTCTCTGTTAGAAACAGAAAAGAACTTTGAAACCTCCCACACACTCCCACTGCAATTGCCAATTGTGAATTTTGTGGTCTATCTTCAAACATCAAGGTGATACCTTTACCTTAACACATGAGGGGAAGTGACCCACTTCTGGGAGGGAGACACGAAAAGGTATTTCTGTGTGATGCAGGATGTGAAGGGGAGCACGTGCTGGAAAGAGCTATCAAACCAGACTCTTGTGCCTCCATTCTTCCTGCTGTAAATCTGAATCAGGTAGTAAAAGAGGCAGTGATGATGAATGCTTCRCTTGCAGTGGGCTGGGATCTGAAATCCCTCCTCAGCCCATTGTGCTTCCCAGCTGAGGTTTTTAGCCACGGGTGCTGCTTTCTTACTTGTGGGGTGTTTCTCTGTTGAGGGACACAATTCTCCCTGAAGAGAGATGGAAGCATTCTGCTTGCTGTCTTCTCTGCATCAAAGTTTGTACCTTTGTTGTGCCACTGTAGCTGCACTATTTCTTTCAAAAGGCACATGATMACTGCCCAGATAGATTTGAAAATGGGGATAATCTTTGCAATACATTTGCTCCTTACTCTGCTGAATGAGTTGAAGCCCTTTTTGATGGGTAGGAATTTTTGTAGTCCTTCATTACARAAAGCTCAAGTTCTACCTGGATCCACCCTCTATGGCAGTTTTGAAAGGTTTCCTTTCAGTCACACTGAGATTTTCCAAAAAAAAAAACGCAAAGGGAGTTGGTATGTCTGCTCACTGCCCTTTTTTTTTTTTTTTTTGGTTTCTTTGCAGAAGGAGAAGAAGAGCGGGCTGCTGAAACTTCTAGCAGGAGCATCAACAAAAAAGAAGTCACGTTCCCCACCATCTGTGTCCCCCACACACGACCCCCAGACAGCCATTGAAGGAGTTCTGCAAGGGGCAGTTGGGCCTGAGCTGTCCTCCCTCTCCAGTCACGGCAGAGCCGGCTCATGCCCTATCGAGAGTGAAATGCAAGGAGCCATGGGGCTGGAGCCTCTGCACAGGAAAACAGGCTCCTTGGATTTGAATTTTTCCATCCCTTCACCTGCCAGGCCACCCCTCTCTTCCATGGCAGCTATTCGGCCAGAGCCCAAGCCTTTGCCCCGGGAAAGGTAAGCTGTGTTTGTGCTGAGGTTGCCTGCATCCACAGGGAGCATTTGGAGGAGGGATGAAAGTTTAACTTGCTCAAGGGTTGTTGCAGTTTTGGTRCTCTGTGGATTGACTGTAGGTGGCTCAGTTGTCTTTTAGGAAGGGCTTATGTGCATCTGCCCATTGAAAAGCATTTGGCACACAGTGCAGGTTTAAAGAAGTGTTGAACAGCACCCATCCCTGACAGTGTAGAGCCCGGATCTAAATATGGAAGACAGCAGTGCTTTCTTAGACCAAATGGTGTAAATTCTATTGGAAAATGCCACTTTTTAAATGGGATTCCCGTATTTTARCTTAAGGACTTGACATATTGTGTCCCACCTGGACATGTCTTGTTCTCACGACCAAAGATTGTTTCAAATTCTTCTTGTTTAAAATACTTAGGTGTGCAGCCATCTTCAGTGACCTCTTACCAAAAACATAGCTCACTTCTAGAGACAGATGTACCAGTGATTCTGGAGCTCATTTCAGCATCCTGCTCTGCACCTTGGTACCTTGGGGTAACTGATTTTGCAAACCCAAAAAGAGAAGAATAGGAACACCAAACTACAAAAGCAGGTGTAAAGATAGATAACTGACCAGAAAAGACCTAGGGGGGCATAGAAAAGAGCTAGGTCTCCATGTGCAGAGTCACACTGGCTTCAGGTAAATGTTTTCTACAAGTCAGAAGTTTGAGGACTGGGAAGGGAATAGATAATAAGCAGCTACAGTGCTATTGAAATGCTTTCCACTCAAAAGATGATTGAGAAAAAGCATGTTTTTTACAAAAGCATTGAAGAATTTCCGAAAAGCTATTTAGGGAGCTCTCTTGAGTTGGAATTTAAAAGAATTTTGAAATAACATTAAAATCACAGAAGTTTGAAAGAAACTGGTTTTGTCTCAGTGTATGAAAGAGGCTGAAGGGAATGGACTGGGCAAGCCACCTGACCCTGAATCCAGTTGGGATCATGAACCAGATGATGCATAATAAGGGATATAACAGGACAGTCCATASCTTATGCAGTATTTTACTGAATCCAGGTTGAAATTCAGTTGAGGTGACAGTGACACTATAATATATTTAAACTTTTCTAAGGCAGCTGGTTTGTTACCATAAAAGTTACTCTTGCTGAGTGAACTGTACACAACCAACCCAACAGATACTAAGTGAGTTGATCCACTGGCATCAAATCTAACTCTACATCAGAAATCACTAGAAAATTATTATTTATGTATCTAGTGTAGCCCAACAGGAGTGGGGTCCTGAATCTGCACCAGCACCATAAAGCCTTTAATGTTGCCGAAGAAGGACTGAAGTGGGAAGTGGGTCATGGATAGGGCAGGTCTGTTGGTACAGAGCTAATTCAGCTCCTGGTCAGGTGAACACAGAGTAACTGCATTTCAGAAGAGGCAAATCTGAGGCAAAGTGGACTGAACTCAGAGAAACATTGTAAGAAAATAGAAGATTTAAATCTGTACAATGAGAGACAAGGGGAGCTCYGGCACACCTGGTAAAGAGCAGGTGTAGGTATGGCATGGTAACAGTCTGTAAGAATCTGCAGTCACGACAGACATGGGAATATTTTTACACTAGATTTGGCATTGTTTCTAAAAGAGATGCTGTTGTTCAGGTGCAGCTATTAGACTTCACGCAGAAATAAATACAGGCAAATCCTTCAGCATTGTAATGAAAGCAGTGAGAGCAGACTATCGCAGTAGTCTCTTGCGCTTAAAATCCATGAAAAAGCAATTTAGCAAAAGGAGTGAAAAACCAATCCCTATTTAGGCACACTTAATTTGGTCTACATCAGTTCAGATTAATGCTGTAAGAAAAGTTAAATCAATATAAACCAGATTTAGCACCAGTGTAACTAAATCAGTGRGCTGCTGCACCTTTAGTTAAATATAACCATGAACAGAAGCAGGGAAGTACAGCCCCCAATGTCTCCAGAGCTGGGTGTTAATATGCTSCGCTCAAAGCTTTACTATAGAGAACTCCAGACACATTATTTAATATGCCAGGGCTGGTCCCATACCCTGCAAACTTCTCAGTCCACCTCAGGTGGGGAAACATTTAACTGATGACTATTTGAAGTGGCAGAATAGAATCAGAGGAACAAAAGTTACCTGCATTYTCTTATCTGTGCTGGAATCAGGAGCAAATAGATTTAGATTGCTAAAACTGCGTAAATACTTCCAGTTGCAATATACGGTGGTAAGAAACTTACTCTGATTTTATATATTTTGATTCCTGAGTCTTAAATCTGAAAATAAGCCATAATTGAAGTAACCATAATTATACACAGCAGGCAAGATTCTTTAATTGATTTATGAATTAACTTCCATATCATTGGTGTATCTGCATTCCTTAACTGATCATATGGGTTTTTTCATGTCCATAATGRGAAATATTAATTACCTTCATGCACTAGGAAGGATAATGCTTAGTCCTGGAATAATCTGAGCAGATACATTAAACACTTGTCTGCTAGAAATTCATCCCACATCCATCTGTGCTCATTAAATCATCAGATTTCTCAGAAGTACCAAATTATATTTTTTTTTAAACAAATTACGGTTTTCAAACCACTTGTTCTTTTCACATCTGGCAATGGAGCAACTTGCATTCAACGTCACTCAGCTCCATATTTTGCTTGTTTGCATTTTGGTGCATTTCATCCGCACAGTAGGAGCAATTCTCTGAGAAAGAAAAGGGAGGAGAGGGAAAAAAAGGTTAGATAAACAGATTCAGATGCTGGATGAAATTTTAAAAAGCTGCAAAGCATTTCAGTACACTTAGCTGTACTTGGCTTTCTGTCTCCCAACGCCCATCTGTGCACATAGAAACAGAGCACTGAAAGGTTGGAAGAAGTAGCACATTCCTTAATATTTACAGCATTCAGAATGAGGCTCATGCAGGCAGCAGAGCACTGCTACTTTTCCTATAGAGGTTGGCTTGCAGCTCCAGCACTCAGCACATCCAGGTTACTGATCAAACCCAGTGCACCAAGAGGTGCATTAAAGGGATCTGATTGCTTGCAGCTCACTCACTATTTGAGGGATGAATTGCCTGTTCTGCTGCCTAACATTGCAGGCCATTCTAGGACTTGCAGCCAGATAGACAGAAAGGTGAAGCAAGTTTCACCCTCTTGGAGGTGCTGTTAGCGTTTATACTCTTATACTCTGTCTTTTTTTTTTTTTTTAATATGTAGAGAGGAAAACATTTACCTTCTCCTTTCTATTCCAAATACTGGTTATGGATTACTGGATTAGGAAGGAAATTGCTCCTAGTTCTCCTGTCATTTAGCCTTCATATTTGTCTCGTTTGCTGGGATAGTCAGAGCCCATCTCTGCCTTYTGGGTGTAATTCCCACTATCAGTTTATAAAACCACATTCCTTCAGCTGCTCTCTGCCATAAAGCATCCAGCAGTCCAAGCAGCAGAGCAGAGAAATTTCCCAGGTGGTGTCCTTGTCACTTCATGTTGCAGTGATTGACTGCCAAGTGAGTACCCCATCAGGCTGTGTGTGCCCCACACGCTTTCCACCTACTGCTCCATCCAGTTTCTGCTGGTGCGAGACACGGGGCCACTACAGGGATGCACTGTGCTGAGGTGGGCACTGGGCCAGAGCTTTGCCCACATCCCACCAACGCTGTCAGCTCACAGGAGGGGTGTGCTGCATGCCTGGCAGCGCCAAAACAAAATACTTTCCTTGCCACCCCCTTCAAGAAAATATGACTGTACATTAAGCAAAACAGAAGAGTTGAGTGTGCTTGTGTGTGTGTGTGTGAGTCATGTTCCCCTCGCTGCCTGGCACTGTTCCCAGAGGCGAACCTGAGTAAAACATGTCACGCGTTGTTGACTCTTTTATAGTAACTGGCACTGACTCTGCCATGCTATATTGTGAGAAAGCAGCCGTGGCCAGACTTATTGTCACGACTGGCATATCTGTACTGTGTTTCTATGGATTTTGGGCAATCTTCAACCAAATCATAACCACAGCAGTGCTGCAGAATAAGATGGGAGCAGTAAGTTTGACCTTTAAAATAGATCCCTCCATGTTTCCATRTGTCTTTCTGCGAATCACTGCCACATTAGAAATTGAGCTCCCAATTCAAGGAAGCATTCAAGCATGTGCTTAACGCCCATTGACTTCAATTTTGCTGTGCGTGTGTATCTTCTTTGCCAAAAAGGAAAGCAGATGAAGGGTTCGTTCCATTCCTGGAAAGTGATACTAGAGAAATGACCCAAGGAGTAATTTCTGACTGAACAGTGACATGTATGCACATGGTTAAGTGCTTCACTGAGTAGGGATACCTGCCTTACGACTGGGAAACTGGAATCAACCATCTCAGAAATTGAATCATATTTCCAACAGAAGGGTAAAAGACCCAACTGAGACTTGTTCTAAGGCTGCTGATTCAGACACCGTACTATGGAGAAGCAGGTTTTGGCTTATAGTGTGCAGAGGTGCTTTGCAGGTCCCTGCAATTTGCCAGTGAAAGTACGAAGAGACAGAGTTCTGCTGGTAAACAAGAGCAGTGGTTAACTGAGCTACATGCTCCACTGGCACTGGTTATCCATTCCCTCCAAAACTAACACACCTGTTGGAGTCACAGGACTGGACTCCTGCAACTTGTCCTTAATGCATGATACTTTGAGAAACAGGAATTTTCATTAAGCATCCAAATTCAAGCTCTCTAAATGGGACCAGATTGGAGGTTAGCCCTGCAGACCTAATTTGCCTCACTGCATATTTGTTTTCTTAAGTTTCCCCAGTTCCATCAGTGTCCTGGAAACACATATAACTCAGTGAGCAGATACTCAGTATTTTTTTGTCAGTGTCCAGGCTGGAGTTCAGGCCTTAATTTCYACTGATCAGTTCTGATCAGGACTGTTCAATGCCTGCCTGCACATTGACAGAGGCCCGTATGAGTCACTTAGACCAGACAGGACTCCTACGCAGCCAGTGTGCTTGAGATGA